CTCTATCAGTAGAACTCCTATTATGGAAGACATTTTTTATCTGTAACCATTTTACTTTCAGGTTTTGTTTTGTTGGTGATGGTGGTGGTTGTAGGCTTGAATGATGGGCCTGTCTCTCAGCTTGTTCACTCCAGTCTAGTGGCTCTACCACTTTGAGCCATGGCACCAATCCTGGTTTTCTGGTGGTTAATTGGAGTCTCACAGACTTTCCTGCCTGGGCTGGCTTTGAAGTGTGATCCTCGGATCTCAGCCTCCTGAGTAGCTAGGATTACAAGTGTGAGCCACCAGTGTCCGGCAACTTTCAGCATTTATATAGTTTTCTACCATACTTCTGATTTTTGATCTTGGGCACCATTGTTCTGTTCCCTCTGCTCTTCCACTGGCTTTCCCACACAGCTTACTTGTGAGAGAATGCGAGACAAAGAAGAGCATCCATTTTCATCCAATTACCAACGAACCCAAGAGAACCTGGGGAGTTACAGACCATACCCACAAATTAAAGCAGCTCATTTCTAATCAGCACATGCTTTGCCTCCAGGGCAGGGGACCAGATGACACCTCTAAGACTCACCTCCTCAGTCCTCCTGCAGCTGTGCTTTTCCTTACATAGTCTCAGGAAACACCACGTTGGTTCCAGCCAGATCAGTGAGCGCCAAGTCATCTCATGCTAGACAAACAGTACATGGTTCCCGCTGCTAGGTTTACCACAGTGGGCTCAGAGTTCTCTGTTTGAGAAATACTCCTGCCCAGAAAAAATATTGACACAAGCAAGAGGGGCCTGCCTGGAGCTACAGGGTGTGCGGCCTGCTCTGCAGGAGTCTTCCCTCCGACTGTGTGATCCATTCTTATCAGGCGGCCTTTGTACCTCATCTGAGATCAGCACGGAGACAAAACCTGCAGCCAAATCACTGACCAGACTAAGGAGATTCAAACTCCTCAACAGTAAAGCCAACAGTCATGCCCTTTAACCCAATTGTCCTGCTGCTGTGAAATGAATCTCAGGAAATCAAAAGGGAGGAGGAGGGAAGGACCAAGCCAGAGTAGTTTCTGCGCCATTATCTACAATGAGTGCAATAGGGAAACTTTCAGTCCAAACGTCGCAACAAAAGGAAGAGACATTCAACTGCTAGACACACTCCCCAGAATTGTGGAAACGACTTCTCATGAAGACTTAGGAAAAAATGCAAAAAATCTTAGCAAGAACTAAGTACCAAATGTTACTGGAGCTATGTTTAAGTCTGTTCACATGCCAAGGATATAAAAGAAATAGTAAAAATCTGACCTACTGTGGATTTTAAAGTAATCCTCTGCCTCTCAAATTTTATGAATGAGATTCTATATTAATTTACACAACAGAATTTCCAATGCAATTCAGTAAGCACCTTAAATTAATACATATCTGATTGAAAGAAAACATATAAATCTAGAAGAGAGAAGCTAGAAGGAACTGGGAGCTGAGGTATGGCTCAAGTGACAGAGCACTAGAGCCTTGAGCAAAGGGAGAGCCCAAGGCCCAGGGTTCAAGCCCCAGTCCTGACACATGCGTACATGTACATGCACACATGCATGCACGCACGCATGCACACACACACACACCATTGGTATTTTACCAAGTGCTAGTGGCACATGCTTGTAATTCTAGCTATTTAGGAGTCAGCAATCCGAGAATTGAAGTTCAAACCCATCCCAGGCAGAATCAGCAAAAAGCTGGAAGTGGAGGCGTGGCTCAAGTGGGAGAGTACCATCCTTGAGTGAAAAAGCCACACAAGAGCTTGAGGCCTTGAGTTCCAAAGCCCCATTATAAGGGGGGGAAATTAAAAAATACAAAAGTGAATCAAATGAACTGTGAAAAGCAGCGGTTAGGAAAAGTAAAGGGGGCTGGGAAGGTGGCTCAGTGGTAGAGCGCTAGCCTTGAGCTGAATTGCTGAGGGACAGCGGCCAGGCCCAGAGTTCAGGCCTTACGATCGGATCCCCCCCACCAAAAAAAAAGGAGAAGTAAAGATAGAATGGCAGGCATAAAAGTTACATCGCAATGCTCATTTACAGTGCTCATTTTCCTCAACAGGCCAGTTCTGCCATCAATGTCAGCCTCTGGCAGAGTGTTGGGAGAGCACTTGAGCAGATGCTGACTACATCAGAAGCTCACGAGAGGAGCTATAAGACAGGGACAATGGTGCTATCCTCTGACATCTGTTTTACAAGCTAGGAATGGTGGTATATGCCTATCCCAGCATTCAAGGTGCTGAGTTCAAGGCCAGTCTGAGACACTGTCTCAGAAAAAACAATAAACAAAATAAAACAAATAACCACAACAAAAAGTGTCTTGACAGCTAGTGTTTTACCTTTTCCTCACAACCATCACTGAGGGAGATAGGGCAAGTGTTATCATCTTCATCTGACAAATAAGCCACTTGTCATTTGGCTTCTAAAGGAATCCGAAGCTCTAATTAAAATGGCGCAACATTAATTAGTGTTTAGAGAGGTATCCATCAACGTAGCCAGTTCACAACATGACTCAGGAACTTGGGTTAAAAAATAGGCAGACTGTCTCCATCTGTGTACCCTGAAGAAACAGAGTACTTCTCCCAACCAATGAGCCTCATTTGTTTCCTTACTAGGAATAAGAGAAGAATCAAGAGCAATTTATGATGCTCCTCTCATTACATTAACAGAAGACATTACAGTCCTTCTATAGAATAGAATACATATTAATAGAAAACAAATTAATGAATTTAATAATAACAGTTCAATAGACATTAAGATTGAAGCTCTGGCGAGCAGGAGAAGACAAATGTTTGGGATTGATGGGGGGTGGGGCTGGGTGACAAGGAGTGGGAAGCAATCTGGTACAAGGTGGGGACAGGTTTGTCAGGTTTAGCAAAAAAGAACAGAATACCCTGGTAAACTAACATTCCAGATAGACAGTACCACTTCTTTGATTAAGTATGTGCTCTATTTTATCTGGCAGCCTGTACTCAGGAGACTTTAGCTTCCTTTACAATGTGTGATCCTTCAGGGCAGAGTGTTTTGCTGTTTTGTTTGTTGCTACATGCCTCATTCAAAAACAGTACCTGGCATAACACTTGTCCCGTACTTGTAAAGTTGACTTCTACGGCAAGGTGCAGAATAAAGTTAATTTTCATACAACTATTCTGTGCACACATTTTGTGCCAGAGCCATGACTTGGTAACTATTACACATTACAGCATTTTCTGTTCTTATTCCAAAATCAGCACCCTTTCCTTTCCTTTCTCTTTTTCTCTCTCTAGTTCTCTTTCTTTCTCCCTCCCCCCCTCTTTTGTGCCAGTACTGGCGTTTGAACTCAGGGCTTGGACGCTGTCCCTGAGCTTTTGAACTCAAAGCTAGCTTTCTATCACTTGAGCCACAGCTCACTTGGGGCTTTTTGGTGGTTAGTGGGAGATTTAAAAGTCTCATGGTCTTTGCCGCACAGGCTGGCTTTGAACCGTGATCCTCATTATCTTTTTCTGCTGAGTAGCTAGGATTATAGGTATGAGCCACCAGAGCCTGGCAGTAAAAATAATTTTTAATAGGCATATTATCAAACATGTGAAATACTAAGATTATAGGAAATTAACACATTATTTCTTTCTGTGTAGTATATTATAGGTTGTCTTTGCTGTTTTTTCTTTTAGACAGTCTTATGCTTCCATATTTGAAGATGTCTATGTAGAGACTAGTATTCCTATAAATGTATAGCAGTTGTGTATGACTGAGCCTTTGGAAGAAATTGCAACAGGGATCATGACCACTAAGACAAGCAAAAATCCTCCCTTGTCCGGGCTAAACCTCTGTCTAAAGAAACAAGTCCCCCTGGAGGTCACAAATTAGAGCACTTTCAAACTGAGTGCCCAGACCTGTTAGACAGGACAGATAGGGTAGAAGAGTTACAGTGGGACCTTCAGACCTCAGGAGCAAACAAGGACAGTACATGACATGCCGAGTTCAAAGAGGGGTTAGAGGCCAAGTGGTAACTCTCAAAGTCCAGAAACTCCCAGAGATAGGATTTAGCAGAAATATGAGAGTCAAGGTCTAAGGCACCAATAAGCTCAAGGGTGTAAATGAAAGTTGGGGGGGGGAGCTTGCGGGGGGAGAAACTACTCAGTACACCAATTCTATTCTCCTTCCAGAACACAATGCTGCTATTCTAGGGTGCTTGGAGCCAGCAGAATGGGGACCCTGGACTCAAGCTCTGGGAAAGAATTCTCAGATGGCCGATTACTGTTCTCATTCATGGGTTTTTTTTTTTGGCAGATAACTTGGGAGGAATGGGTATTTGGCAAGATGTCCTATACAGGTTGTCATCTCTGATGACCTATCATCTCTTAGGAGAATTTTCTCAGAGTATTTTTCTCTTACAAGCTTCTCTCCAATCTTCCATAAACAATATTGAATATTCAAAATATATCAGTTTTTAAGATCTAGTCAAAGAAAGAATCAGAATACAGGCCTTTTATGATTCAAAGACAAGTTGTTGCATAGTTCTCTCTGGAAGTCATTTTATAATTATTTTCCCTCTGGTGAGTATAAAAGCTACCAGAGAATTAGTTTTTAATATCCAGACTCTCATTTCTACTCTCTTCAGTTAACCTCTCCAGAAAAGGGGCAAGAAGGTTCCTTCAACTTCCATCAATATTCAGGATTTTACTTCATCTTTTCAACACTTCAATAGAACTGACTTAGGTAATAATTTACTCAAGTGATTTCAGCACATAAATAAAGATAAAAGCAAATTTTTTAAGCGATTAGGTAAGAAACAACAACAAAACCGGCACAGAAAATTGCCTTAAAACCCTACTTACCTAAGCAACTCATTATTACCTATCAATTATTTTAAGAAGAGATTCAAATATTAGTTGGCACAAATATTAGTTGGCTCTCCTTCTTCTGCTCCCTTGTATTTGTGCTCTCCCTGTTCTTCTTTCTCCCTCTTTCTCTCTCCCTTTTCCGCTCCCTCCTTTCTATTTTCAGAGCCAGGTTACCTGAGGTACAGCCATTAACCTTTGTGATGTGAGCCATGCTGGCTTGAATCCAAGGAGGGGCACTGGAAAGCAGCAAGGAGTCATGCAAATTTCATGCATCAAGTTCCCAAAGGCATCCAACCTGAAATAATAAAGAGAGCCCCATCAAAACGGATCATTTAAAAAATAGGTACAACACTAAATCTTCTAGTTCTGTTTACAAAGATGACTGTTAATGGAGACAGCAAAGTAGCATGAGGGTGGGCAGGGGGTGAGAGTGAAAATCTAGGAAGTGGCTGCCCAGAACATGGAGACAATATCCAGAAATCAAACATGCGTGCGCGCACGCACACGCACACACGCGTGCACACACACACACCACCACCACCACCACCACCACTGCCTAGGCACAGACAACTCTAATCACAGCACTTGGCATTACATATAAGAGTACAGTAGACTCATAAGGGAAACAAAACTGGTTCTTTAAGAAGAGGTCTTCAAGGGCTAAGGATATGGTCTAGTAGTAGACTTGCCTAGCATGCATGAAGCCCTGGGTTCGATTCCTCAGTGCCACATAAACAGAAAAAGATGGAAGTGGTGCTGTGGCTCAAGCGGTAGAGTGCTAGCCTTGAGCAAAAAGAAGCTCAGGGACAGTGCCTAGGCCCTGAGTTTAAGCCCAGGACTGGCAAAAAAAAAAAAAAAAAAGTAACAACATGCATAGAAAATACTGCATTTTTGTGGGGGCCTCTGGGTGCTGGTGGCTCATGCCTGTAATCCTAGCTACTCAGGAGACTGAGATCTGAAGATTCAAAGCCAGCCTGGGCAGGAAAGGCCATGAGACTCTTATCTCCAATTACCCAACAGACAATCAGAAGTGGAGCTGTGGTTCAAAGTGGTAGAGTGCTAGCCTTGAGCAAAAGAGCCAGGGACAGTGCCCAGGTCCTGAGTTACAGCTCCAGGACAGGGAAAACAACAACAAATCAAGATGCTGGTAGCTCATCCCTGTAATTCTTGGGAGGTATGGAGATCTGGGAGGACAGCAGTTCCAGGTCAGTCAGGACAAAAAGATCACAGTACCTTAGTTCAACAGAAAAGTTTGGACATGGTGGGATGTAACTGTTGACACAGGAATGGTCCTGGCCTGCCTGGCCCCAAAGCAATACCTTTGTCTTAAAAATAACCAGAGCAAACAGGGATGGAGAGATTGCTGAAGTAGAGAGTGCACCCTAGCAAGCAAGAAGGCCTGAGCTCAAATCACTGTATAACAAATAACAACAACAGGAGAAGATGATAATATTGATGACAACATCAGTTAATCTCTTAAGGCTGTCATTAAAATCTAAAATGTCACTGACTATAGGGCACACTATGATTTTAAATACCACTGAATTTTCTTTTCTCGCTTTGGTGCTAGTCCTGGGACTTGAACACAAGGCCTGGGTTTTGTCCTTGAGCTTTTTTTGCTCAAAGCTGGCACTCTACCACTTGAGCCACTCCTCTATTTCGGGCCTTTTGGTAGTTAATTGGAGATAAGAGTCTCACAGACTTTGGGGCTGGCTTTGAACCTTGATCCTTAGATGTCAGCCTCCTAAGTAGCTAGAATTACAGGTGTGAGAAAACTGGCACCCAGCAGTAGTGTGGATTTTTTTTAAAAGATGTCACCAATTAAAATACTTAATTCAATTTTGTTAAAAAAGATATGGACATGTATATATTTAATTAAAAGCCATTAGAAATAAAGGAACCAAAATGCACACTCTTGCTAAATCTGGTAAATTTAACTGTGCTGTCAACTTTGAAAAAAAATTAAAAAAAAATCCCAGTTTACCATTTTGAACCTTATTGTCTAGACATGTTAAACTTGATTTTTCCCCAACCTGGATAGGGGCAACACACTGTACTGAGTATGTAAGATCTTTTCTACATGCGCTTGATTACAGAAATGAATATGGTGTTCTTTAAATGATGAAACATGAACCATCTAGATTTGTCTAGTCCATGTGGGTTTACTTGCTTTAAAAAATCATCAGAGTAAAAGATCAAAGTATTGGGAAAATGCTATGCAAAAGGCCACTGCCAGGCCGCTGTCATGGAAATTAGAAGAAGTCAGGAATACTTGTGAAGGAAAAGGAAATGGCTGATGGATTTGATCACACAGTGGCAGATTTTTTTTCCCTCATTGTTGAAATAGGCTTGCCCCCGTGGTTCAAGGCCAACTACTGAGGAAAACAAAAATGCTCAGTGAAAAGTCAAAAAGATGATTCCCCCTCCAGCCCCGCCCTCCCATCAACGGCTGCTGCCCTAGGCTTATCCAGATTCAGTAGGGCATTCTGCTCACTGGAAAAGACCTTGTTCCTGCCGGTCCCCAGTTTCTGGTGGGCAGCCTACCAGGACAGGATGGCCGTAATCTGACTAAGGCTTAGTCACCTGACATTCTCTGGGAAACAGTAGCACTAGTTCAGGTTCATGGCATTGCAGAGCAATAAGCTCTGAGGCACAATCAAAGCTGGCTGAACTTAAGAAGGGAGACTTCAGGGATAGAGTGAGCAATCTTTGATGACCAGGAGTCAATGTCAGACAGGTACAGCTTTATTCTTTAAAACTCTGGGGACTGGGAAATGTACAACAGGGAGTTGGGAAGCCAGTGGGGAAAGGAAAGAAGCCTCGCTTCTGGAATGATTCAGTTAATTATTCTAAAAACCACCACCAACAAAACCCTAAACCCAATCCCTGTGCCCCAGCCCCTGGCTAGCCTTGTGTGTCTACACTCTTGCTTCAGAGTGGCTTGCAAATACCACCAGTTCAACTCTGGAGGGCAAACAGAAGACAAGAAGAGACAAGCTGCCTGTGTTAGGGCTGAATGAAATATGTGTCCAAGTATTTGGATGGACATGTGCCCAGAATCTTCCTAGTCAAGCTTCATAAACAATGGCCCCAAGGTTCTTTCTCTGCCTGTCATTGGGCCCCTTTTCACCTGGAAGGAGATCTTTATCTCAGATCCACATTGGTTTCTCTCCCACCTTCCCCTCTGCTGAATAATGCAATCAAAAGAAGGAGGAAGCCTGAAATTAGGAACTACAGCATGTTATGATAAAATAACAAGACATTGTCATGGGGTGTGGATGCTGAGCATCCACACAGCTGTATGCTGTGTATTGATTCTGCTCAGTTATTATGGCTCCTGTCTGACGGGGGGCCTCAGATGTGAGGACTTGTTCCTCTGAATGATATGCAGATGCTGCTGTCAGTGTATTGTATAAAGCAGAAAAGGTCTGCCACTGTCCATTCCTTTGTTACAAATCAATAAACTGCCTCTTCTCTTCTCTTGGAAGGGGAGAGTACATGCCAGTAAATCTTACGTGGTATAATGGTGGCTCTGTTCTGCTAAGAAAAAAAAATGCTTCTTTGAGTTAGAATAATCCATCAATAGAGAAAATAAAGAATTTGTCTTCTCTATTTATTCTAAGAGACTGACATTAATGAACGTGTTCATAGCTCCCCGCACTGTGGTACAACAGATAATCTAAACAGGTTTGACTTCCTAAATACTGCACATTAGCAGAGATGAAACCAATTCTGAAAAAAAGAGCTCATTAGATTTGAAGACAAATATTTGGGGGAAATCGAGATAGCATACAGACTCAAGCCTGGCGGTGCTGAGCAATCCAAGGGTGCTGTATTAGCTAATGAGGCTGAGGATGATGACACTGTTGATGAAAGCTAACCTTTACCTCATCAAGCTGAGACATCCATATTCTGAAAGACATGCCATCACTTAACTAAAAGCAAAATGCTTATGGGAATTACAATGGGGCTGTGGTTAAATCTGGTAGGAGAATATATGCTTGGCATATGCAAAGTCCTGGATTCAATCTTCAGCACCCAAATGAAAACAAAAAGAGAAAAAAGAAAAAGAAACTATAGTGAGTGTTAAGCTACATCCTCATTTCAGAGATGTTAAAACCTGGAAAATCTTAGAATTGGTGAAATTCTGTCATGTTCAAGTCACTATGTTGTTTACACATCACAGTAAAATCATGCAAATACTAAAATCTCTTCTCTTCAGGAAACTGAGGCACAAGAAACACTAGAAGCTGTCCAGCTCACCCAGCTAGCACACCAGACTGACATAGCTAAGCATCACATGCTTTTATCTCCCAAGGCAAAGCACTATTTAAATAAAAACAAACATCCAGTAGCTCACGCCTGTAATTCTAGCTACTCAGGAGGCTGAGACCCGAGGATCTCGCTCAAAGGCAGCCGGGGCAGGAAAATCTGTAAGACTGATTTTTGTTTATTTGAACTCAGGGCCTGGGCCTGGGCCTGAGCTTTTTTGCTCAAGGCTAGCACTCTTTCACCTTAAGCCACAGTGCCACTTCTGATTTTCTAGTGGTTAATTAGAGATAAAGTATTTTGGGCTGAGAAGGTGGCTCAGTGGTAGAGCGCTTGCCTTGCATGCATTAGGCCCTGGGTTCGATTCCTCAGCACCACATAAGCAGAAAAAGCCAGAAGTGGTACTTGGCTCAAGTGGTCGAGCACTAGCCTTGATCTGAAGAGCTGAGGGACAGTGCCCAGGCCCAGAGTTCAGGCCCCACGACTGACAAAAAAAAAAAAAGTCTCATAGACTTTCCTGCCTGGGCTGGCTTCTTCAGATTTCAGATCTTAACCTCCTGAGTAACTAGGATTACAGAAGTCTTCTCTCCAATAAATTACCAAAAAAAAAAAAAAAAAAAGCCAGAAATGGCACTGTAGCTCAAGTGGTAAAGCACTAGCCTTGAGCAAAAGCAGCTCAGGTTCAGTACTCAGGCCCTGAGTTTAAGCCACAGTACAAAACAAAAAACAACACATGCAAAATGAATGTTGTCAGTTCCAGGTATAAAAAAAAATGAGGGAACAGTGTGATATTTATTTCAGGTAGTCACCCTACTAAGATTGCATATGCAATGATCCTTTTAGGCCATTATATCTCTGAAATCTTCTGAAATATGCTTTTAAAGCAATTGTATTTGCAACCTTACTCCTTGGAATTATGTTATTTTATTTTTATTTATGTATTTTTGTCAGGACTGGCATCTGAACTCCAGGCCTTGAACATCTTGGGCTTGCTTGCCACCAGCTCTGTTTTTTGTTGGTTATTTT